CCTCGCGGCCGGGCTCCCCCCCACCCCTTCCCCCCCAGCCTGTATGGATACCGGGGGTTGCCCCAACCCAGACGGATGGGGCTATAGGGTCGCACCACTGGTCCAGTTTCATCTTGCCGCGGTAGATGTGGCACCTCATGGCCAAGTCACCAACCATTCCAGCCTGTATAGATACCGGGGGTTGCCCTAACCCAGAAGGATGGGGCTAAAGGGTCGCACAACTGGTCCAGTTTCATCTTGCCGCGGCAGATGTGGCACCTCATGGCCAAGTCACCAACCATCCCGTTTGTCATTCACAGGTGCTGCTGAGTGGCCACAGCAGCACAGGACATCAACAGGGGGACCACCACCATGGCCAACTCGACGGCCTCCATGGAGGCTGGGAGGAACTCATGCACTTTCCACGAAGAGTTCAAGCAGGTTCTGCTGCCCGTGGTCTACTCAGTGGTGTTCATGGTGGGGTTGCCCTTGAACGCCGTGGTCATTGGGCAGATCTGGGTGGCCCGTAAGGCACTCAGCCGCACCACGATCTACATGCTGAACCTGGCCACGGCCGACCTGCTCTATGTCTGCTCCCTCCCGCTTCTCATCTACAACTACACCCAGAAGGATTATTGGCCTTTTGGGGACTTCACCTGCAAATTTGTCCGCTTCCAGTTCTACACCAACCTACATGGCAGTATCCTCTTCCTCACCTGCATCAGCTTCCAGCGGTACCTGGGCATCTGCCACCCCTTGGCCTCGTGGCACAAGAAGAAGGGGAAGAAGCTGACGTGGCTGGTGTGCGCTGCGGTATGGTTCATCGTCATCGCCCAGTGCCTGCCCACCTTCATCTTTGCTTCCACCGGCACCCAAAGGAACCGCACCGTCTGCTACGACCTGAGCCCACCGGATCGCTCCGCTGCCTACTTCCCATATGGCATCACCCTCACCGTCACTGGCTTCCTGCTGCCCTTTGTGGCCATCCTCACCTGCTACTACAGCATGGCCCGGATCCTGTGCCAGAAGGATGAGCTGATCGGCTTGGCGGTGCACAAGAGGAAGGACAAAGCCGTGCGTATGATCATCATCGTGGTCATCGTCTTCTCCATCAGCTTCTTCCCCTTCCACCTCACCAAGACCATCTACCTGATCGTCCGTTCCTCACCCAGCCTGCCCTGCCCAGCTCTGCAGGCGTTTGCCATCGCCTACAAGTGCACGCGTCCCTTCGCCAGCATGAACAGCGTCCTTGACCCCATCCTCTTCTACTTCACCCAGCGCAAGTTTCGCGAGAGCACCCGTTACCTCCTCGACAAGATGAGCTCCAAGTGGCGACATGACCACTGTATTACCTACGGCTCTAGGTGAGGATGAGGGACACCTCAGTGTCACTGGGACTGGGCATGGAGCAATTTTGACTTTAAGCTACACAGAGCGAGATGGCTTCAGCTGGGGATGTGCTGGAGGATGGGAGGATGGCGTGTCCCGAGCTTTCAGCACTTTCATTTCATCTCCAGCCTGCAGCAGCACAGTATTAACCCCATCAAGGCACAGATCTGGTGTCCTCTCTCTGGCTCGGTTGCTTGGTTTGAGCAGACTAGCACCATGTTTCCTTGGTGGCCAAGCCACTGATGCAATGAAAACCTCTGGTGGGACCATGGAGAACGCAGTGGGATCATGGAGGGGACAGTCCCTGGCTCGGGGCGAGCTGCTGGGGGGATGATTTCTCCCTCTTCTCGTTTAAAGCTTCCCTGATGGGGCCATGTGAAGGCTGGGGAGGGTTTGGCTCAGCTCGTGCCTGTCTGGGGAACATGGAGTTGTTTCTCCAGCTCACGATCAGTGTCATGGACAAGTTTTGGGCTAACACTGGGGCATTGCTATCCCCCAGGCCCCAGAATGGGGCCAGATCGGTAAAAGACATGGGCCCACTGGTACTACTGGTACTGCAAAGTGGTGGGAGAGCATCCTTGGCCAGACTGGGAGCTGGGAAGGGGGACGTGAGGGCAACTGGGATACCCATGCTGGATTTCCCACCCAAGTGATGACCATGGGCTGGCTTAGACACAAGTCAGCAATGTTGTCACCTGCCTGGGGACCTACAGCATCACCCGGGTCCAGCTCCCTGCTTAGCCCTGCACCCCAAATCTGGCCCATCCCGGCATCCTGCTGTCATCTCCTAACCAGGACCCACCAAAATCAGAGCCAGCGTACCCGGACGCGATGCCAGGAATCAGGAAAACCCATGCCACCAAGCTATTTGGTGTCCTTGGTCGTGTCATCGCACGGCCCCCCATTGGCTTGGCCTCTCCATCACCCCCACGCTGGGTTGGGGCCTTGAGCTTTGCTCCCTGCAGCCTCCCGGCCAAGGAGGGATTTGCTTACATGGCGCGGGGTGGATGTACCACGAATCGCTCTGCGAGTTTCCTTTATCCTATAGGATGTAGAGAATAAACTTCACCCCCACCTTTTCCAGCTGGATATGTACACATGTATACACCCACCGTATATATGTACGTAGAATACACCCAGGCAGGGGATGGTTTGTAGCCCAGCACAGGTTACGTGGCACAAATATTCTCAGCCCTGAACACGCTAGATATATCTATACCGGGTGTGTATGTATAGATAGTATACATCCACATGTATCTATATAGGGATAACGGGCTTGCTGCCTTCCTCGCAGGTTGTCCGTGTGCAATAACCACGTCTGAGTTGATGTAAGTGATTTGCTTCAATTTTCTGGAAATGAGCATCCCTCCCTGCACCTGGCCAAGCGGGGCCGCTTCAGCCCGACTTGCTCCCCGCAAGCACGCGGCATCTTCCTTGGCCCCCCGGCCACCCCAGGACCTCGCCAGAATCCAGGGCTTGGTGGTCCTAACGTGGCTTTCCTTGCACCCGGCCAAGCCAGGCCGCTTCAGCCCGACTTGCTCCCCGCGGCATCTTCCTTGGCCTCCCGGCCACCCCAGGACCTCGCCAGCATCCAGGGCTTGGTGGTCCTAACGTGGCTTTCCTTGGTGTCGCGAGGATGAGGAGGGTGCCCAGGGTGGTTGTCAGCTCTTGGATGATGCTCCAAGAGCTCAGCATCGCAGTGGAATGGAGTGGAGAGGGATCCTGCCCAAGCCACCTGGTTTTGCAGGAGTGGTGGCCATGTCCTCGTGGGGAGGACCGGGCATGGTGCTGACAGCTTTGGGTTGGAGCACAGAAAATGATGGCGGAGGCTGGAATCAGCCCCGGGCTTTCCATCAGCCGGAGCTCATCCATGCCAAAATCTCCTCCAACATATTTTTGGGGTCCTGCAAAATGCCGGGGGCTGTGAGAGTGGTGAGCGGTGGGACAATCCCAGCCTGGTGTCCCCAACTCTTCCCAGACAAAAGAAAGGGTGACAGGGTGGGAGATGGAGGGCCACACCAGCCGGACCCAGGAGAGGGCGCAAAATATTCAGATTTGGAGAAATTCGGCTGGGTCTATGGGTGCCCACCCGGCTCCAGGGAGGCATGGAGGAGCCCTGCTCCGTCACACCACCCTGTGCCTGGATAGGACCCATGGGATGAAGTGGGTGGCCAAAATTTAACCGTGATACAGCTTGGAGGAGAAAAAAAAAAGTATGTCCCAAAAAGGCCGGTGGTGGCTGCAGGGACAGCGCGGGTTTGGGTGGTGACATCCAGCAGCCCCGGGACACGCTGATGAGGTCCCTGGTGGTGGAATCATGAATTTTGGGTGGTTTTGAGGGTAGGAGGCAGATGGAGCTCACTAATTTTTGCATTTTGGGTCTGACCGCGTCCTGCCCGGCCTTGGGGTGCTGTCAGCAGTTCCCTTAGTACCAGCAGGCCTAGAAGCCAGGGTGATGGGCACAACACAGCGCCTTAGAGAGATGGGGTGGGTGCTTCAAAACATCTCCTTCGCTCGTGAGATGCTCAGCACCAGCAGCCTGAGGACCAGCTCCTACAGCACCGAGAGGCGATGAAACGTGTGGCTCTTCCCAAAATCCCATCCTGAACGCCGAGTGACCGCGGGGACATCATGGGGACATCGTCCTTATGGCCGGAGACACCCAACCCTGCGGGAACCAGGGGAGAAGGGTGGAGGGAGGGAAGGGAGAGCCAGGGAAGGAAAAC